CCGCGCGTGTGTAGCTATTCAAATCATATCCTTCAATTTGATAGAAACATAAATTACTAAAATTAATATTTGGTTCCGTTATTACAAGTATTCACTAAAAGATTTAGGAGGAATGCAGATTTAATAACATTACCTTGGTTCTTTGATATTTTTCATGGAAATGTATGCTTGTACATCATATTTATTCCCTTGGATTTTATTCATTCTTCTTTTATATGCCAGTCAGTCGAATTCAGGTAGATTTAGCTAGTTTTTATTTCAATGTTGGTCCTATCCATGGTGAAAGATCTAGAAATTTCATTATAAAATTTAATGGTTTCAATTTAATGTAACAAAAACGACGTGAGACGTTGATAATTGCAGTCAATTAACGTAAAGTGATTAATATTTTGTCATGATTATTAACGCGTTATACCTCAAGATTAGTCTCTACATTTCGATAGTTAGATTCAAAATATAGGCGAAATGAACACGTTGATCGTAGCTGCCGTAATTAGCGTTGCAACTGCAGATATTTCTACGGTATGTAAAAAATAATTTAAAATCTCATCGACGATATATCTGGTAATAAAACTTATTTCAAATCCAATTAAAAATTACAAACACTCCTTTTACCTTTTTTATATTATAAGGCGGCAAACGAGCAAGCGGCCACCTGAAACAGTGGAAATGGCGAAGCGACCGCTGCCCATAAACAGATGCGTTGCCTACTCTCTATTAACGGCGGAGGAGACGCACATAAAGAGGATTTTCGTTTCGTGGCCGTCTCCTTCACCGTGAAATTTACTTTTCCTTCCCATCCCTTCCTCTTAAAGAAAGGGAAAGGGACTAAAAATAAGCCTCCGGCACCATATGCAGAAAATAACTAACAACTGAATATATTAAGAAGGCCTCAGATTCTTTGAATAGAAGTCAGCCGTATTTGATAGTCAGTTGAACTTTCTGAGCTATTTGATATATCTATTTCCATACACGATTATCATAAAAATAACTTCTTCCGGAATTTTACAGACAACTACGTCAAATGACAGAAATAATTCAGAAAATACACATATAAAGGTAATACAAAAATCTGCTCACTTGAATATAATATTTTCAACTACCTACTAATAATCTTTACACTTGCAGAATTTTACAGGAAGTCCTATAAAGGTAAGAATGTTTAATAACTATTAAAAAGATTAATGCACATATAATTACAAAAATATATTAATTTATTGTCAGGTGTCTATATTGACTACAGAAAAGTCCGAGGTAAAACAATTTAAAAGCTTTCTTTAATTTAAAAATTAAATACTTCACCTGAAATTAGAGAGTATGATTAGTTGCCTAACCAAAAATCGAGTAGTATTACCTTCAGACTAAACGGTTGTGCGATAATTTAGTCAAAGATTGGCGTGTATTTTAACATAATTAACTTATTCATTCATTCTTCTTAACCAGTTAGTTAACACAACAGAATCTACAAATGTACTGCTATCACGTAAAAATGGTACAATAACACGACAAGGCAAAATAACCGAAGTACAAAATACATCAACGGCTGTACAATATCGTAACCATCAAATATCTAATGAAGATGGAAATGATACGAAACGAGAAGAAAATAATCAATTACAAATAGAATTTATCACAAAAAAACCAGAGACACAGAGAAATGTTTTAAAAAATATATTCGAAAAGATTTTATCCTACAAAAATATACATTTAGAAAAGGATTATGATAAAGACGAAAAAGATAAAATAATCAAAGCTTATGTTTTATTCGTTTCGCAAAAATATAAGAGAAAATGGGTACCAAAGAACTTAGTAAGTAGAAATAAAATAACAGACAAACTATAAATTTACGATTAAGTACATTTGATAAGACGAAATTTCTATTTTTGAACAAATTTCAGAGCATTTGATAATTTTTACAGGGTCTGAAATTATTCTCCATCAAGGTATGTCTACAATTAAATACATGAGCATTTATTTTTGAAAGCCCCTATACTAATTTTGGTAAGGCAATTAAATTATCAATTTCTTACAGAATATGACCGTGAAAAGTGTAAGTAAAAACATTTAACTCAAAACTAAACAAATGTCAGCCCTGTGATTTCTTTTAACGCAGGAAATATTTCTAATTATACTAACGATACAATAACCAAAAACATTCACGCTAGAAATACTCGTTGGTCACTTAACTCTGTAATTACAGCGTCCTACAATTAAAAGACAAAAAAGATCCATCAAAGAAGATGCAGGATTCACCCACGATACAGAAACGTGCAAGCAATACAACAATAATCTTTTATTAATGTGGTCCAATCTTTCTAAATATATCAGTACATCAGAAAAATCACCTCCAAATAAAAGCGTATTACACAATATAGGTGTCATGATCAAAGCTTATTTAGATCATGTAACCCCGATTGAAATTAAGACAGAAACCGAAGCTGAAAAACTAATAGTAAGAAAAGAGAGAAATATCTCTACTATACTATCTCCAATTGTTAACGAAATCAAAACAAAAATGGATAGAAAAGAAATCAATGAAGTAAACACTTTAACGACTTTCATATTAGATCAAGTGAAACATTTCAGAATTGATAACATAAACGAAGACTGTAATAAAATAATACAGAATCAAATAGCTAAATTAATAAATATAGCATTTAAAAAATACTTACTGTATACAAACTGTAACAACTTATACAACAATGCAAATAACAACGGAAATAATAATATTTTGAATAATACGCCACTAAATCAAAAGACATATAATAACCTGCAATCTTTAAAAATACCACAAATTGATGAATCACGATTTGATCAAAATGTACTAAGAGTATTCAAAAGATCACCTGTTGAGACAACTAATACAATAAATTCAAGTACACAAGTTATTAATTTATCATCAGAAAGGGCTGTTAACAATTCAAATTCTAATAATCTAATTACCAATGAAACAATACACATTGAAAATGAAAATCAACTTAAAAACTCAATTCAAAACAATGAAGTACAAACTCGTAGAGCAAAACTGAACGGCAAATTCTGTGCAGATCTTGCCTTAGATCAATTCATTCTCACAGTGAAATTAATTCTCAGACTGTATCTTTTGAACGATGACTGTACATTAGAAGCTTATAAATTTACAATTATATCAAAACTGATCGAAGCAACGCCAATATTAGAGCCCTTCGACGGAAATAATCTAGAAAATTTATCTCAGTACCACGTTCTTCTTCGATTATTAGATAATATGGAAACAAAAGAAATGAGCAATCTATTCACACATAAAGCAGAAATACAAAATAAAAATACTTTAGAACAATTTTTACATGATATACATAATCTCGCAATATCTATGAACTATAAACAAAAGGAAAATAACAAAATTTCTAATAATGATTTAAAATATCAACAACTACTAAATTCTTTATACAATTATCAACAATTACACAATAATGATAGATTAATTAAATCAAAAAACGCAATTTTAGATGTTAATTCTGAAGACAATCCAATTTTACCTATTGGAAATAACAGAGTTACTGAAAACGTTAAAGAAATACAAGGCATGTATACTGGTGTACCAATTAATCAGCATTTTGAAGCAAATAGATCAATGATTTACGAATATTTGACAAATAAGACGTATGATAAACCAATTACAATAGGTACTACTACAAATTCTGGAAATATTAACTATAGTAAGAAATTTATAGGTACATCAAATAGTAAAAGTGCGATCTTTCCTAATTTATTTAGTGGCACTGGAAAAGATTATTCTAATATCAACCCTATGCAATACAATCTGATGGTGAATTATTCTGAAACATATCCAACAAATATCAAAGAAAATCACGCATCCTTAGGTAGTTTAGGCGTGTTTCCTTCAAATTTATTAAACAGTACTTTAACTAATATGAACCCATTTAAAAACACATTATTAAAACAAAATTCAGCATCGAATCTTGATACTTTATCGAATTACTTTTCAAAATTCGCGAAAATTTACAATAGCCCAGAAACCCAAATTAAAAATTCACCTTCAATACCAAATAATGGCGTTTTGTTGAATCTTTTAAATAACAATAGAGCTATGTTAAATAATACCTTCAATACAAAATCAGAAGTAACGGTCAATGAAGCTAACTTGGACACTTTCCTACGTAACCCTGCTGTGGAACAACAGAACTTAAACATACCGTCAAATTTTGGAGTCAATTCTGGAGTAAGTTATTATAATCAAATCAATAATATGAACAGCAATCTTATTAAAAATGATAATTTCGATTTACTCCGTGATAATAATTTGAATATAGATAAAAATGCTTTCAATTATAATTTTAATAACTTCAATTTAATGAAGCCAAATATTTTGAGATCCAATCCTAATTTTAATGACATTAAAAATGCGTTGCAACCAAACGAAAACTTGTTTTTAAGAACATATCTTTTACGTACGTTAAATGTTCCGCAAATACAAAAAACTCCGATAATTTACCGGACAGATTTAAATCCAACTTCATTTAATGGTTTATTCGTAAATAATCCATCTTTAAATGTTAATAACTCTAGTTTCATTAGAAACCAACCCATTCAGACGTCAAAAATATCTGGCGTCCCACTTAAAAATAAGCATTCCATTGAAAAACCTAACCAAGATCTTTCTAAAAGCTTATTTATCAACCCATATTCCAAAACACTTATAAATAAGGATAATGAATTTAATAATTACCTTAATTCAGCAAATACGCCTTTTTTGCGAAATAATCTAAGAACGTATGATAAAAAATTAGAATCGTCAACATCACCAATTATATCAATAGATAGTTTGCCGACGATCTCATCCGATCCTGACGCGAACGGCGACGTAGAATTAACATACGTCTTCCATCATCCTCAAATCGTTGTATATCAGCCACAAGTATTAGTAAAACGTCGTATTTCTTATATTGATTATATTAATAATTTCAACAAGATATTTAACAATCAAAAGAAAACTCAACAACTTCATTTATATAAAATTATAAGATATTTACCACATAATAACGTCCAAGTTCTATATCAATCTGATAGTATATTGCCTATACTAAAAATAGAAAATACTACTTCTTCAAATTAAGATAAAACTATAAAAATCACTCTTCACTTGAACTTTTTAAATACAGAAGAAAAGAATTTCGTTTAATGTTATTGATAAAAGTTACTGTAGTATATCTATTATTGTATAATTTATCGTAATAAATAAATCCTTTTTTGAAGCATACCGATGTGTTTATTTTGGAATAAACTAATTTAAAATATTAACTTAACTATAACAATACTAACTTAAATACACTTAGTATTAAAGTAAGTATTGTTTACTGTATAAAAAAATAGAAAAGAACTTACGCCATTTTTCAGGTGGGTAAACAGAGATTTCTTAATTTCATATTCCGGCACTCGCGATCTTGGCTATTTACTTCCCTGTCTTGCTCTTCTATCTTTCATTGGCTCTGTCAGCTACAGATGACCAAAAAAACTTTAAATCTGTTTTTGTAAGATTGTTCTTGCTCATAGAATTTAATTTGAAAATAAAATGCCATGAGAAAGAACGATATTTGCTCCTGACATTTAAAATTGATAAAGAAACATAAATATAGAGACAGCAAAATAAAGGCTGCCTGCTGTTTTTCTGATCCTGCAACATTGCTTGTCAATTAATGTTTACCTTTTTGACAGTGACAACTAACATGACATGACATGACATTTGATGAATTGAGGTTATAACAAACTTTGTTTTCAAACATTAATTTCGAAGTTGTAAATGAAACGAAATAATATTTAAAAAATAAAAATGGTTTGTGAAAAGTGTGAGAAGAAGTTAGGCAAAGTCATTACTCCGGATCCGTGGAAAACTGGCGCAAGAAATACCGTGGAATCTGGCGGAAGAAAAGTTGGGGAAAATAAGGCTCTTACTGCAAAAAAAGCTCGTTTTAATCCATATACGGCCAAATTTGATGAATGCAAGTATGTTCGTTTATTTTTTAAAACTAATGTGTTACTACAAAGTATTTCGTATGTTTTTGTATTCAAGAACAATTTTACTTGTGTATCATGTTACTTTAATTCCTAACTAAGCCTTATCTTGTCTTTACTAGTTACTTCTTTTCTGTTGCCTAATTATTATTTTGACCATACTCATAAAATCTAAATTCTTATCTTAACTTCTAATAAAATGATTACTATTGACTAACGTTTGCTAAAACAAACACATTCTTTCATATACTAAAGTGTTAACCACAATATGTATGTTCAAATTTGCTGTATATATATTCAAGGCATATTATTTCTATTCTATATAAAATCACAGGAAGAGTTGATAGCACTAAATATTTGTAATAAAATTCATATTTTTTTCAGAATATGTCGTATGAAAGTACATCAAGTGGGTTCACATTACTGTCAAGCTTGTGCCTACAAGAAGGGTATATGTGCGATGTGCGGCAAGAAAATATTGAACACCAAGAACTATCGACAAAGTTCCACTTAATGCATAGAATTATTTAAGTCACCCTAAAGGTAGACTCCAAGCCTCTCAGTGTGGATGAATAGGTGGTGATGATTTTTTTTTTATAACATAAGGTGGTAAACGAGCCAGCGTCCACCTGAATCCGCCAAAGTGCCCAAGTGACCACTGCCCATAGAAATGCCCAATTGTAGATGCATTGCCTACCCTTATCCAACAGAGGAGGAGACACACATAAAAAGGACTTTCTTTGCATCTCCGCCGCTGTCAAATCCACTTGCCCTTCCCATCCTCTCCTTATGAGAAAAGGGTGGTAAGGAGTAAGAGACTTAAATTAGGCCTCCTGCACCACACTCATCAGACAAAACACGGAATTGCTTCCATTTTATGCCTGTCTTCTGTGTGGTCGTGGTATTACACCAGGCGTGACGGCCCATTCGTGCTAAGATGTTAAAGCGGGCACTACCACTGTAAGATAGATAATGAATATAATGAGATGTATTTTGTAAACTAAGTTTACAATTTAATAATAGGTTAGTGTAATCATGGTTGTCAGTTGTGATCTATAAATGATAGACTGACTTATTTTAAAGATATATCTTGATTCATGTTAAACACTGATCTGTATAAATGGATAAGTCTTTCTCTTACAGCTTTTGTTCCGACATTAACATGTCTGTTAACATTAATTATGTATAAATATGTCTGTTACTAGAACCAATTCTCAACACTGCCTCAGTCAAGGCCGAAATGGTCAAAATTTGCACAAAACTAATTATAGCCTGTCCATTTATAAAGATCAGTGTTATTTAATCATTTGAATCAGAATTCTTTGTTAAATCAAGTTTTGATAAAGAAAAAACTGTCACATTTTAGATTATAATTAAATTTTGCAATGCAAAAGTGAATGGAGCAAGTTTTGTAAATATAGATAGATGACTTGTAAATAAAGTTTGTAATTTTAATATTTTGCTTTATTTCAAACTAACATTTCTTTATAACTGAAATTCTATTTTTATTAGCAATTAAAGTGGCAATCATGTTAAAATCAACAAACCTTGCAAAATGCGAATTCATAATTGATAAGCCACAAATGAATTCCGATATTCGTGTAAAGTGAAAAATGATTTTATGGAAATATTTGAGCACGTTTATATTTATTGTGGTAAGCAATTTTTTAATCTACCTCGTAAAGTCATTCAGAAGCCCTTTTTCTCAAAGACCCCTTACAATTTTGATAAACATTTGTTCTGCAACTAATGCTCATATAGCTGTTTAAACTCGAAAAGTGCTTAATGAGTCCTACGATACTTCTGTGAAAGCTACGTCGTCCATCTCAGTATTACTGTGCCATGAGCTTCGACAGCCGATGATCTAGACTAGGTCTAGGAAAGAGCAGTTGTCATTAATATGGTTTTTATCTGCATTAAATTTTTGGATACTGTAAGCACGCATTGGACAGCTGACATAATTGCGACGTTCATGCACTGCGCTATTTATATGTCCAAACAGCGTTAAACCAAATTGAAAATTAAATTTCAGATTACAGATTCCAAAACATCGAACCACTTACGACAAAATACAAGATCCGCTGACAATGATTTCACAACTATGTTACATTCTATTATCAAAATCAATGAGAAAAGAGTTAATTCTCTTAAGACATTGGTCAATTTAGATGATTATAATAAAGCAAAAGTTCTAAGAAATAAATTAAACATTTACGAAGGAATACAGAAGGATCCTGAGATAATAGGTGTTATTTTAGGTGTTGAGAATACAGACACATCGAATGAAAATTATTTATTAAACAGACGGCATAATGGTATAGCTAGACGTGGTAAGAGAATTCAACCATTGGGAAACTATAGAGTTGAAACCATAGTAAAACCAATGGGTAAAGATACTGATACGAGTTCATCTGAATGGGAATGTAATCCAAATAAATACAATTGTAATGGTAATGGTAATGGTAACGGAAACGGAAACGGGAAATGTAAATCACAATGTCAAAATTTCTGTATAGACTCGTGTAATGATGCTTTCAAACATTTCTGTCTCACGTACGCTTGTGATTATAGTATGAAAGCACAAATGGAAAATGAATGCAACGATTTCTGCTCGCAAGGTTGATAAATAAAATTGTTATAAATTACTTTATGGTTTTTATTTTAATGTAACAAACAGAGTGGATGAAACATAATGATAACCTGTTATTATCGAAATTAATAAAGGAATTATCAAGGTCGAAAGACGGAGTACTTCTAAAAGCAAGTGCTCATCTGAAGCTTATATGGCGCACACTACTCGATGTGCAACTAAACAGTTGAATTTGCTGCGAAATAATCGACAGTCGCATAACAGTTGTACGATAGTTAAGTCAAAGGTGTGGGCCCGCTCTTACACGCCCGTACATTTGAGACAGACTACCATTACCCTACTCCGAGGGATGACGTTGACGGTTTTGGTCATCCAAAAAACGAAACAGTTAATTAGCTTTTATAATTAATTGTTTTTTTTTAAAAGTAAAAGTAAACGTCCTGAATTGAATCCAGCCTGCTCTTTACAACAGAAGTACAAACCCTTTAGCCTCTGATTCTCATGTATGGTAGATTTTAATTATTGTTGGTAACAAACCGTAACTACAGAACTCTTTTAAAGTAATAATTATTGAAGCTAGCTTATAAGATTAAAGTTTTTTAAATATGTATTTGTGGTAGTTATTTGAACATGATTTATTTAAATTCTTATATATTTATTAGTTTATTCCTTTTGATCGTAAGTAAAATCGCTTTGTTTTAATTTACAAGGTTATTATAGCATGATGTTTTATAAACTTTTGTATGTAGATCGTAAAGAAAAAAATAAAATAAAAACATCGTTATCGTTCCCGAGGTGACTAAAAACCAAATAAAAAGAAAAAAACCACGACACTACTCTTTTCTAAATTTATATAGATATAGGTTAACTGTCTTTATTTTTTCTACCCATAAAATTCAAAACTTCCTAACAAACTGATAGGAAATTAAAAGTAATGGAATATTTTTATTTTCTTTTCAGTTACTGAACGACTCAAAAATTACAAACGCTTATCCGCAACTACGTAAAGATACAAAACACAACAATCATTCTGAATTACTTAGACATGTATTAAACAGTAAGAAAAAAGCAAAACATCGAGATGATTTTTTAAAATTGCGTGACGGAATAATTATTTTAAAAATCCTTGATAATTTTAAAGGAATTAACACTGCGAGTAATGTTTTTCTATTTGATATTGAAGCTATAAATAACGAGGAACAATTGAAAAATGTCGGTAAAACAGTTGATGAAATAAAACTATTTACTAGAAGAATTGACAGCAGCAGTACTAGTTCAGAAACAGATTTAAGCGGTGACAAATCTGAATGTATACAAAATCATAGTCACTCTAGCGACGAAAGGGATTCTGCCGCTTATCAAAGACGAGGCAGATCTTGTAAGAGAGCGGAACGCAAATGCGTAAAAGCCTGTAAAGCAACATACAAAAGTATTTGCAGATATTATTCTTGTGAAAGAAGATTAAAGCAAATGGCCAAAGACGATTGTAAATATTATTGTAAAGAAGTTATGAAATTTTATTAAAATTTGTGTTTTACTTACTTTGTAAATATACTATATTAAATTTGACATCTGTACATTAAAAGCGGGTGCACACCTTTGACTAAACTATCGCACAATTGTTGTGCAATTAATTCAAATTCAACTGTTTATTTGCACAACTAAACATAGAGTAGAATGCGCACCTTCACATAATCTTATAGGAATCTAAGTGAAACAAAACAGTTGTGCGATGGTTTTGTCAATGGTGTGCGCGCTTTATTACTCTTCTCTTAGACTAACTTATTCTAGTGCCTGGTAAGGGAAATTTCACTTCCCAGACTTTTCACCTTGAAGGTAGATTATTCATCAGTTCTTTATTGATCAGTAACATGCAATTCTACCATTTTTCTGCCCTTCTTATATTTTTCTAATGACCTCTTTAAAATTAATTTGGAACTGTCTTTCTAAGACTTCAAGCTACATTAGTCTGAACAAGGGCAGATCCAGGGGGCGAGGATCATGGGGGTCATGACCCCCCTGAGCTGGTTGGTTTGACAAAATATATTTACATATTTTGTCAAGCTCTTGACTTGACCACGACTATGGGACCCCCCTGGCACCAAAGCTGGATCCACCCTTGAGTCTGAATCTAATAATTGGGAAAATTCTCTATTAAATTATGTTAGCAAGAGTACAAAATCTATTTTCCACGATATATCTAATCCTTTTATTCTTATTGTGATATTCAGATAGGTTAAATTTGAGGCAAAAAAATCTTTTTGAGTTAAGTTTCTGTTACCTAAACGCATTTGACAGAATGCTTTTTTCGAGACAAGTCGATATTACAATATCCACAAATTGATAAGCAATAATACCGTTCTATTCAATTACAACAAAGATTTTAATTTGAATTCATATGAGATTTGTTATTACAAACCTTATTCTTTTTTTATTAGTTATGTTACCGGCCAGGTTTAGCAGCGTTTGTTCAATTTTATTTCTTCTAACATCGGTAATAGAGAGAATTTTTCATATATCAACTAGAAAATAGTATTTTTAAATTTTTGTTTTTTTTTCTTGGCAGGCAAACACAACTGGTGATATTTTGAACTACAAGAAGTTTACTCGCGATTTGAAAAATATACTTGGGAATGGAGGTCCAATTATTGCAGTGGCTGTTATTAAAGTAAAAATAATACTTTGCTACTAGCTGTTGCTCGCGACTTCGTCCGCTTGAAAGTATAGTTTTAGAGTTACTTCAATACATACAAAGAGACAAATCTTTCTTCTTTAAAATATTGCTATAGATAATAAATTTTTCTCAATTTCTTTAACATATCTTGCAGAAACATTTATTTTTACATATGTATTTTCAGAATAAACCCATATTAAGGGCTTACGTACCAGAAAACATCCCAAGAATGGCAAAACCGAACAATCAAGATATACAAAAAGCAGTTCAAGAAACAGATCCGACATTAAGACCGACAAATGTAGAGTTACAAATGGCGTACCAGGACACCGGAGTCAGCAAAGTTACAGATGAATTTGAAGGTATAGAATTGACACCAAAACAAAAACGTATGTTACGTAAAAAATGGCGTAGTACCTGCGATAAGCAAGCAGCTAAAACTTGCAAGAAAGCTTGTTATGCTGCTCAAAAACGCGCTTGTAATGAATATCACTGTAAGAGAGCTATAAGCAGAAGTTTTAGAAAATACTGCAAATCGAGTTGTACAGAATTCTTCATAGGAAGTAGATCTGAAAACTCCGATGGGCTATTCTCTGATTGAATTAAAACACTGCAGTACAAAAAAACGTTAACTACTGCAATTTTTCTACAACTACCTACCACAAAATATTGGTGTCAATTTAAAGGGTTTAAAATAAATTTAGATACAACATTACAACTCGTCTTTATTATAATATAATACATTAATAAAATACATTTTGTATAACTGATAACTAGGTAATGCTTCCATTGAAAATAATCGTAACTTTATTAATACAAAAAAAACTAAACGTCAACAAATAACTGCACTTACAATACTCTGGTTGATCCGTGTTGAGATAAATCGATGTTTACATATCGATTTTGTATCGATACCACAATAGAATAATCAGAACAATATATAGAATCGATTTTATTTGACAATCGATTTTGTTGAAATCAATAATTTAAATAAATATTTGTACAAAAACTGTTTGTCTTATAAGGAATTGTTTTGTCTGTTTTTTAAATGTAGGAATCGTTTTTTTACAACACGGATCATCCCTAAGGTAAACCCCGAAATGGGCGGGAATGATTTTTTTAATCTGTGTTAGCAATTATGCACTTAAATGTTGCCATAATTGCATCTAATATGGAAGACTATAAATACTTATTTTAAATGCCAGCAAACAGTGAATCCACTAAAATATATTTTGTGTGTGGTTCTTTAATTAATTTTTTCTTATACTAATCCGTAATACTTCTAGGACGGAATGTTCAAAAAATAATATACAATGTTTTTTTTAGATATATAACAAAATTTGTTATTGCTTAAATAAAGTAAATTGTGACATTTTTACTTAAAATAAGTAATTAATTAAATACTATATACTTTTTGTTTTCACAACCGAAAAACAAAAACATTTTCGTTTTTTTTTAATAAATTTGATTGGAATGTTAATGAAATATCAAATATTAATATAATAAGGCACATTTTCGATTAATATTTAAGTACTTTTAAGTACATCGTAAATCTAGTATAGTAGTTGTCAAATATGTTACCGGCTTGGAACACCGCACGTCACTCAAGCCGACAAGATATTGGAAAAGAACTATACTCGAATTTTTAAATTAATTTTCAAAAGCCTAAAGCTAGTCGTGATTTTAAATATAATGCCAATATATTGTACAAATCTAACAAACAGGTATATGTGTAAATTATATTATTGGAAGAAGCAAAGTCAACATATTCTAAGAATACGTTTTTTTACAAGTGGAAATTCTTCGTAAACAAAATTGTGCAAAAACAATATAACTAAAGAACATATGTATCATTTTTAATGGTTAAATGAAACCAGTTAAAAAAACCAATTGATATAGTAGTTGTCAGATATCTTGGTGGTTCTAACGTCACGCGAGTGCGAAATATTTGAAATGGAATATATGAGATAATTGCACCTTTTAAATATTTACGAAAATCTGAAATTCTATCAAAAATGTGAATAATATAAAATATTCTAATAATATATCTACCAGATAGAAATATAAGAAAATAGTTAAATGTAGATTAAGACAGTACAGAGTTAAGAATAAATGGATTTTACAAGACACAACCCTAACACATTTTATTTTTTAATGTCTGAATATTTTGTTCTTTATTTTTTTTCTTCACTGTTGTTAGTAAGATCCATTTTCTTTCCAGCAACTTTTCTTGACAGATAAGTAGTTTGAATAGTGTTTATAAAAATATTACGTGTAAAATAATTTGTTTCTTCCAATAATATTTGTGCAAAAGAACATAATCGTATAAATCCTTAAAGCAAGCCCCCGCTAGGACTTTTAGAACTAGATTTTATAATAGATGTTACGGAAATATTTCCCGAACTGCCGCTGAGACTGGGCGGCGGCGAGCGAGGTAGTGAAAAGTTTCTGTCCGACAAATTCTCTTGACTGAGAGATTTGACAGTACCGAAAACCGGTATTTTTGATGATACCTGAGAAACCGATTTCGATTTCTCCGACATCTTAACCGGTATATTACTCGGTTTCGCGGAAATCGCCGGCTTTTGACTCACAACCGGTTGTTCAGCCGATCTCAACGTCATCTGATCGAGTTGGGACAGTCTACGGTTTTCTAGATCTGTGCTTGTTACTATCGTCCCTTTAGGAGACTCGTATGTCGCTGTACGGAATTTAATGTGACTATTTCTCGGTAGATCGAAATCTGAATGCCTTTTCTTTGGTTCGGTTTTCGTTCGTTTCTTTATTTCGTTAAGTTGTTTCGCTGTGTGATGCCTTTCGTTCAAGATAAAATCGTTGAGCAGTTCGATATCGAGTTCGTAGGATAGCAAGGGCTCTTCGTAAACTGGTGCTCTTTGTCTGCTTGCAACTTTATCTTTTGTAGAATCATTTTTCTGATTCTTTTCTGTCTGCGGTGTCACTACTTGGATTTCTGTTATATGGTCTTTTAATTCAGTTTTAGATTCGTGCTGTGTTATTGGCATTATCGTTGGATTTATGGAGTATCTAGTTTTGGTTGCTTCTACTAAATCTTTTGTGACAGTTTGTTCGTCTTCCAAATCTTGAACTATCCTTATACCGAGACGTGAGAGTTCTTCCGGACTCTTTTGTGCCATAAAACTAGGATCGTTTTGTAGTTTTTCCATTAGTGCTTTTGCTTGTTCCTCGTCCATTTCAGTTGTGTTTAATATTATTGTTTCAGTTTTTGTGTATGAGGGTTCATCAGATGTGAAGTGCATGTTTGGATTTTGTCTTTTAATTTCATCCAAAAGCTTTTTGTCGAAATCTTTGATTTCACCTTCTTCTAAATTCAGTTGATCTATGTCGCCTGGATTTTTCATAATTCCAAAACTAATTTGTTCGACTTGTAGAGGTGCTTCGGTGCGCGTAGTCAAGTACTGTGTTGAGTATTTTTCAACATTCTGTGTTATCACTTTATTTTCAAAATCATCTTCGGTTACGTTTACTGTGACAGTTTTTTGTACAGGTTCTTGTGTCATAGTTAGAGAAACATTCCCCGGTTCCATGTATAAAGTTCTATTTTCTCTTTGGTCGTTTCTTATCTTAGTACCTTCTATAACATCTGGTACTATTCTCATCACCGGTTCACCTATCTCTATAGACTTGGTGTAAGATTTTCTATTTTCAACTGAAGGTATGCTTTTGTCGCTCGTTGATATTGTAACTATATTACTACTGTGTGCGTCTTTGGTTCCCGACCATTCTGTGCTAAAGTTTTCCTGAGGTTTCTTGGTCATTTTCAAACTGTTATTATTTGATCCCACTCTTATGTTGCTAACGAACTCATCGTAATCTCGACCTTTAGGCTCAGATGTTTTTAGGTCAAAGTTGACGATGTCCGGTTGATGCATGGCTGATTTGTATGAATCTGTCATAGATGGTAGGTCTTTGCTGGTCGTAGCTTCGTGTTTTTGAGTTTGATCTATATGAACGTTGAAAATGGGATTTTTAGCCAACAGTTTCTTCATCATGTCAGACTTAGGTCTCTCTAAGCTATTAACGTAAGAGTTTCGCGACATTTTTAAATCATCTGGCATGTTCGTGTCAAAATTCATGCTTATTTTATCCTCGTATTCCAACGGCGGGGATCTACTTCCAGCATCTGTATACGTTTCTTGATTTTCTATAGAACTTGTGTTGCTTCCATCTGATGTGGTTTTAGCGAATTCTGAGACAAGTTTGAAGTGGACTTTCATATTTTCATCCATTATTCTTCTTGCTAAATGATCTGAGGTTTCGTGACTTTCTCCTTGATGTAAGACATCGACTTCTTTAGCCTGTGCTCTTTTAATATGAGCTTCTTTCTCTTGTTGGTCAGAATCAATGGAACTGCTCGAACCTTTCACTATAGCATCTTCTAAATTCCCAAACTCTGACGCTTTCTTTAGACGATTCCTCTGGAACGTATTAAGGCCTTCAATAGCTGATGTTTTTGCTATATTCAAACTCAATCTTGGTTCTTTTTGTTTTAAAACTACGCCTTTCTCTGGGTCAATTATTTCTGATGACGCATCCTCTGTGCCCGAATCAAAGAACGTTGTTTCAACAACTGACATCGCTTTACGTTTTTTCGGTGATAGAGCACTTTCTTGAATCTCAGCATCTTCCGCAGATATATCTAAGCTTTGTGCCCGTTCTAAAGTACCGGTGGAAGGTTTGTTTGTCTTGATTCTAAGTTCAAATCTGGACAAATCTCCCAAAGAAGCTGCTTTCCTCTCATTTTCGTCCAACAAAGATGTATCATCCGACGCTGAATTCACCGTATCGTTTAAAGGAGAACTGTGTATTGTAATATCACTATTATTAAGTTCGATTGTAGTAGAGCCTTTCTCGCTCTTGTCGCTGTTATTCAAAGACACAACAGAATGAACATCTTGATTTGAAGATAAATTAGATTTAGAATCTTCGAAGAAATTGTTTAAAGAATCGCTTTCTCTTTTGAATGGTTTAGAAACGATGTCATCTATGTCATCTTGTGTGAAATTAATGGAGTCATCAATACGAGATGGTTTGGTTTTACTAACTTTTGGAGTTGAGGTATTATAGGAAATTGACATAGACGAAGTAGATTTGTTCGATATAGATGTGTCATATAAAAGACTGGAATGTTGTTTTTCGTTACTCAAGAAATCGTTAACGTTCTTTAGTTGTTCTAGAATACTATCATCCGTTTTGTTTTTATCAGAATCTGGAGGAGATGGCGCTTTTCCTTTAGATTTCTTTGTTGGTTTTGGTGCTTCTTCTTTTTTAGTGTCTCCTTTTTCTTTCTCTTGAACCAAGTCCGCGGAACTTCTTCTATTGCTTCTAGCAGCTTTAGCCGCCTCGAACATATGAGCTGGTAATTCTTGTGGAATCCCATTTTCATCTCTTTTGATTCCACTAGAGTTGAGGTCGCTTCTGGCAAACGATGAGGCGTCAGATACTTTGGAATCAACACTGCTGTTTATTGATGTTTCCGAATCATTTGTCTTTACACGAGCGTTGGGTATTGGTGGAGCCATCTTTTCTCGCCGTTTGGCTACTACAGGTTTCTTAGTTTCCATTTCTGACTCGTGTTTTATATGCGCAGTCGGAGCTGGACGTTGGGGTTCAGGCTTATCTGGTTCATCAACTGATTTCTTTTCTAACACAACGTTTCCATTTTCCGGGCTTTTCTGTTTAAGGACGCCGTCATCTGGAACGTTGGGCGGAAGTACTCTAATACCGAATTTCATACCTCTCTTAGGATCATAATCTCTTTTTTGTACTTCTGCCTGTTCTATTTGTGCGATGCCGTTCTCAGGTTGTATAATTTGAATGTCACTTCCAGAGGAGAGCCTGTTTTTACTCCTTTCAGGTTTACTTAACCCAGGTGGTATATCGGAATGTCTTGATTTGCCCGCCATTTTTAGATTCTTTTCATTTTCTCTTTCTAACGTTGAAGGTGCGCCATCTTTCTTCTCTTTCTTGTTTCTCTCAAGTGTGGTTGTTGTTATAATCTTTTCGGCCAGTATTTTCTTGATCCCTCCCTTGCCTTGTTTAGTTTCTAATGTAGAGTTGTTAGAATGAGACGTATTTGGTGATCTTGGCGGGTGTAACAGCTTCCCTTCTTTTTCAAGCTGAAAAAGCAAACAAAAGTAATTAATATCTTTTTTAAATTCAATATTACGTGCATCTATGTTGATTATATTATATACGTATATATATTATATACGTTAAGCCTTCAAATCCTCTTCATCTCTCTAATATCTAAGATTTGTAATTTTTGGATTTTTGCATATCTTATAACAAGTTAAATAATTTTCTTTAAGCACTACTCTGTCAGTTTGTTTTTGGGCCATTGGAAATCTCCGTCTACCAACAATGGTATATTTTGATATCTCGATATCGTAGAACAAAAACACCGGTCGTTCACATCATTTTGATACTAGCAGCCGTAACAATAGAACCATAACCGACTCGCATTCCGCCGCGTAGGCGACATTGTATCCATAAACACGTGTCAACGTATCTGTAAGACAATCGTGTTGATCGATAAACTTCCATATTATGAAAGCAGTAACGCTCGATATGGCGTCTCATTGTTTTGACTTAGACATCCTTTTCTGACCATTTTTATATGATCTCTAATGTCTGGTGTATTTAAAACTAAACAATGCTCAGAGGAAGGTCTGGAAAAATTAGACGTTTAGATGGTGAATGAGTAATTGGCGTGCAATGTTACGTCACAATACCATGATACTAGGGATGTACCTAGACTCTAAAGTATCGATGTTTCGGTAATCCCAACTATATCTCACGTCTATCCAAATAAAAAACTATATGTTATTGTTGTTGTAAATGTGTGTTTAATCTGTTTTAAGGTTATTTTTTTGTTAGGATATTTCAATTTATGTTACCGATAACGATTGTTGTTATCGATAAAACAATACAACACTAGTTGAAACACGATTGCATTACAATGCTGTCCTTTGGAATGGCCTGATAAAATATTCATCAATAAAATTGCGAGACAATATCTCTGCGCCAACGCACAAGATCGTTATTGAAAGAATTTTTATTCAATAAGAACCATTCAACGTAATTAGTAACTTTTAACAATTATTATAATGGATTTAAGAAAAATGTAGTTCTATATTTTTTAACAGGAAACATTATTCTGTTTAACAACTAAATAATGCGTGAAACAATCATCCCGTGAAATCCGAAAATCTTGCCTTATTTTAACAGTACTCTATACAAGATTATAACTGCTACAAAATAAGAACAAATTTAATCTAACTAATATTGTAAATGCGAAAGTTTAGATGGATGTTTGTAAGAGTTTGTAGTCTAAACGACAGACCGGATCTCAATAAATTTGGCATAGTTATAGAGGACAGCCTGGAAGGACACATAAACTACTCTTTTTTTATTTAATTCCCCGCGGACGGAGTCGTGGGTGAAAGTTAGTAGGTACATAATAAATATGATAAGCGTATAATAGGCCACGGATACTATTAAATAAGCCGGCATTCCTAGAACTTAGTCGTTGTAATATCACGTACACAGCGTAGGTGTCAATTATAGTAACGTGAGTGAAGGTACAATTATTATACCATTGTGCTTGCGATTGTACCGCTTACGCGTTTCCACTGTCATGAGAAAAAGAAACACACGTACATAAATATTATTGGAATACACCGGTGGAGGTAGACGTAGAAAGAGATCAAAATCTCTCTCCTTATCCTACTCTCGTAGGGCGCAACAGGTTTTTGTCCTCCAAATAACTCTATCATACGTCATCTCAGTCATCACTACCTTTTTGATCATGTCACCTTAAGACGTAGAAAGAGATGTATTGTGTGAAAGGTGACATGAAGAAGGGAGTGATGACTGATATGACGGTTGATAGAGTTATTTGGAGGACGAATATCCGGTGCGCTGACACTACTGGAGTAGGATAAGGTAGTGAAGATGAATAACACTGTCCCTACCATAAAAAATTTAGACAGTGTTTCAATTCATTTTATCTTAAACATACGACAATACCTTTTCCTTTCCACTCTTTTTCTTATTAGAAAAGCATGAGAAGGAAACGTGGATTTGATGGTGCAGGAGACGCATAGGAAGAGGAAATATCCTCTTTAGCGACTCGTCCTCCGTCGATCAAGGGGTAGGCAACGCATCCGCTATTTCGAATGTCTATGGGCAGCGGTCGCTTCGTCATTTTGGCGGATTTGGTTGGCCGCTTGCTTGTTTGTCACCATATTTTATATCATATACAAAAAAAAAACACTTTTGTACCATGTCTCTACTGGATTGCGAAGTTAAATAAAAATAAACATCCAACCAAATAAACTACTAATGATTATTACAATAATAGAAATAGATTGGAGGAAAAACAGATATAAGTTTAAGACTAATCTGTCATTTTCAAGCAATGACCTATCTATTTATACGGATCAGTGGATTACGCTTACCCTTAGCTTAAGATAATCCCGTTTAGTTTTTCAAGATTAAACTTATGTAAACAAGCAGTCAAATGACACTGACATACATAAGCCCTGTTTACTACAAAATTAACTGCGTGAACGTGAAGTCATAGTACACATTTGTTAAGCATCTACACTTAGGGTGCGTTCACAGAGACCGAAGCGTAAAGTAAAGCAGATTTTTAACGCAAAAATTGTGCTTTATACGATAGAAATAAGGTTTAATTTTACTTTGCAGGTCTTTTTTTACCGAGGCTAAGCGTAAAAAAACGAGTAAAGTAAAATTAAACCTTGTTTCAATCGGATAGAGCTAAATTTTATTTGGGATAAAATCTGAACTGTATGAATGGGCCCTTAAGGTTAGTTAAGTGTAGACTAATTAAAAGCTTAGATGAATAAATTGCGCTTCTATTTAGTTTATGAGTTTTTTGCTAATGTAGGTCACACACATTGGCTTTAGTATGAAAATTTTGATCCAACCCTATGCAAATAAGTAAGAAACAGTAACTTTTTGAAGACAATGTAGTGCAGGCTACACACGTCAGATTTTGCCTGATTTCGACCTTGCAATAAAACCGTTTGTATCTTGAAAGCGAACTCATAAATGTCATACAGACTGTCTGTTCTGTTTGTAAAATCAAAGCACTTATGCAAAACTTAACTTACGAAAAATGTTTGTCTACCCTACAAAAAGTGATCATTACAATTGTATAACTTACCATAGAAACATCTCCAGTAGAGCCTGCTCTTTTCAGCAAGGGATGTCTAACAGGCCAGCCTCCACCACTCGCACGACCACCTTCAACCACCTCGAGTTCAACAGGATACGGTGAAGCCAATGAGAGAATAGCCACAGCATCTTCTAGAGGTGTGCCAGTTAACTCTATCTTTATACTCTTGATTTTATCGCCTGAAATAACAATTAAATAAATTTAATTATATCGTATGGATGGCTACAAAGGTAGAAAGAAAGAAGAAAGTATGGATTGTGTCAAAAGGTAATGAATTTAGGTCTTTAAATTGAAATCAGTCAAAAACTACTGGGACGATTTCAAAAAAATCTATCAATATTAAAAAGCTACGTTATCAGTAAGTATCATAGGCTGTTTATTTTTTTTTCATTACACGGGGCTGAAGTAGCCAGTTACTGATATAGATAATGGAAGAGTACAAACAAAGCCGAACTTAGAATAAAGGGCTGGGTGGTGATGAACTACATAATTTCGTATAAAACTTGCTTTTAACTTACAAAAGTAACAGGATCTACTAAGGGAAAAGTTTGGATAGGGCATGTTAACATATAATATGCTTATTTGGTAACCTACAGCAATACAATACAATTTCGCAACTTGGATTATCATGGATGAAGTGAAATTGGCTATACCCACTTACCAGGTTGTAAATTGGCAGCCGCTGCTGGTCCACTTCTTAAAACAGAATGTATATGAACACCTTCCCTCGCGCCTCCACCACATTGCAGCCCTAGACCGGTGAAGTCTCGCGCCCATAGCTTCACCCGACGGACTCGACCACGCTGAGGATAAAATTATATTGAACTTTGTGATACTGATGGATTCAGACACTAAGTGATTACTAAGGGAGTCAATGTATACTCGTACTTAAGGGTTAGTAGAAGATCCTACTTTTTATTTGACTTTTCATTTCAAATCTAAGATACCACTATAATTTGATTACTATTTTATTTCCTTAGCGACCAATTTAATAAATGAGTCCGGTAATTGTAGATAAATATTAGCGAAGTTTAAGTAATCATTAAACAAGATAATAAAATATCTGAGTCTGCGTGTGAATGTAAACATTTAGGTTTAACTCAAAGTAAATTCAATAATAATCAATCAAATAGAAACATTAATTCTAAAACAAAACCTTCGTTATTTGACATTGGTACTTAATTCACAAAAGACAAGGTTAATTTTTTGTATTTCATTGAACACAAGCGTTTATTCAATCTATAACAAGAATAAGGAAATAAGGAAGTTGCATGACTTCCGATATTTTTTTTAATAAACGAACTAAACCCATAAATAGTATATAAATTGGAGGGCTTAGCCTTCCTAAGAATGGGGTTTTTATCAGAAATTCCAAGTTCTCGCAATAAACGTAACAAACGATAGGTAGCACTACTATCATCGTAGTTGAATTATAAGTGGTTTTTTTTTACATTTTTCGAGCGCATAGAACGTATAGTTATTTTAAAACTTCTTGCGGAAGATATCTGGTCATTTTATGGGAGTTTGGAACGTCTGCTGAATCAAATTCAGTAATAGTAACTTAATGTACTTGATACTTGGCCAATCTATACTATTATAGTGAAGCGTAAACACACACTTCTTTGTTGCCTAAGGTTTCAGCAATTACAGCATATATTTGAATAATTCTTTTTTTAATAAAAAGTCCTACACTTACGTCACGATTTAGGCTATATATTTTCACGCCATTAAACTTAGGGGGTAAATATTTTGGATAAAAACCTTAATGTGGGAAATAGACCATCAAGAAAGCAAGATTGCTAAAGTTTGACATGTCATGTCATTTTGACATTTGCTATTGATAATTTGACAAATGCAAACAATAAAATAAAATTTTCATAATTTCATGTGGATGAAGCTGCACGAGAACTGCCAGTTCAATATAAATAGTAGTTAATACTTCTATTGCCAGTGACGTCATAACTTTAAGTGTTTAACTTAATGACGTCATTCACTAATGTATCCGTGTGAGTTAAAGTAATCGGAATTTTGATGATTAAAAACTTATGCGGAAAACTTTTGTTTTAAAGGTCAAAGGTTTTTTCATACGGTTTCTTATAATTCTTTGTTAGCAATAAGTACATATCGACATTTCATTAAGTCTTGTGATTCGTGAGTACTTTCTCGTATAATCTATACTAATGAATAAATAAAAAAACGTAAACAACATCTCTGGCTGGCGGCGTACTGTGGACGCCCTCTGCCCCACTTTGGGGACATAGGAATAGAAGAGAGAGAGAGAGAAACAACATCTCACATTAACTCTGGAATTAATTAAATTATTATTGCACTTTTGAAAAGTCTTAATAAAATTTTTTAACGTATCTTAAATTCGCTTAATAAATAAAAAAACAGTAACATCTAAAGCCTACTTTATGGGTGAAAATAACATAATTTAATTCTGAAACATTGGAATCCCCTGTTAGATAAAAAGGGGAGATTGAATAAATCCTCGAAGGAATATTACTTAGCGATAAGAATATAATATTTATTCGTATATAAAATCTGACATCATCTTAAAGTTAAGACGACGCCAAAACAAACAAGATAACACGGCATAGAAACAACGAGATTTCTGGATTTCCCGAAATAAACGACAATATCAATTTGAAACAAACTATATTCACATTAATGTTAATATTTGTTTTCATTAGGAATCAAGGAAAAATATGACTATACTTGTAGTCGTTAATTTTCCACTATGCGTATGTCTGACATACTCGTATATAGAGCGAAATATAAAAAAATGTCTGAAGTCTCGGTATGAAGGTAGTCAGTAAATTCTCAGCCCACAAGGACTAAATTCGTAAGAGCGGGCACATCTTTGACTAAACTATCGCACAACTGCTGTGCGATTGTCGATTGTTTCGCAGCCCATTCTTTAGTTGTTTAGTTGTACAACTAAAAATCGAGTAATTTGCGCTTCATACTTCGAAAAGTGATGGCTTAAGCCATATATTTGATATTATAAACATCCAGGTATAATTATAATATATTATATCACTGTCTTATTTAAATCTAAACGCATATACACGCTCTAGTCTCACGCGCAACTTGTACACTCATGTACAAAAGTAAACAGCATCTCACATTTTTTTCGTTTCTAAAGCAATCCCTTGGTCTTTGTCTAACAAATTAAAAAGAAGGGTAAATACTGTACCAAAGAATACCCTTTATATTAAAACATATTGATGTCTCTTTAGTTTCAAAGCGTATGAAAAGTATGCCTAGAATACTTATTTACATGTGAATTAACAGTGGTAACGCACAGTAAATACTGAAACAAGGGTAATTTTTAATATACAAATATAAAATTGAATACATGTTTAATTGTGTGCCTAACATTTTTGCACAGAGTGTACCTAATTTGCTGCGCTTCGTCGATGGAATGCAGATCGGTGCATGATTGCGTCATTACCTGCGGGTAGCGGGTAGAGGGTAGCGGGGGAAAGGTATGCAGTAATGACTATCCGGTAAGTTCGAAGCTCGTGCCTTAACTAGACCGAGTAGACAGTAATATACGCCTCTTATGAGCACTAAAATTACTAAAACTATAAACAAATACAAGCCAGTACTTCTTAAAGCGTGCGCACATTACTCGATTTTAAGGGCCTGTCTCACCACTGGTTGATAGAGACTCAGATAGCTTAAAAATGACATCATTGTCAGATAAGGTATTTCCATCACATATTTTACACGTTGGATTGTTATTAGACAATTTACAATTTGGTGGGACAGGCCCTTAAATATGCAACAAAACAGTTAAATTGGCAGCGAAACAATCGACAATCACATAACAGCTGCGATAGATTAGTCAAAGGTGTTCGCCCGCTTTTATGGAAAGTAATAGTGCGGGGGAGGGGTAATTCAAAAGATACCTTGCCTTCTGGGGGTAAGGCAGGGTTATGTAGGATTTGACCCACTAAAACCCCCTCGGTGGCCATCCTCTAATGACATAGACTAAGGTTCCGGGATCTTCAAGCAACACACCGGAAATGTCAATGAGTCCTAATGTTGCCTAGGTTTATCATTAGCGGGAAAAGGAATTTTACACAAACAAATTACAAAAGTAATGTATCACAGGTCGTTCACCGCAACTAGATATTTGTGAAGTGTTGAGAATCTTTTGGCTGGGTTAATTCACTTTAGGGTTTAGTAGGTATCGTATAGAATTACTTCTGAGGACAGACTGCTATACTAGACTAGTCTACCAGTGTAACATAAATGTGAAATGTATGAAAAAAACTATTAAATCACGCTTCCGGTTACACAATACACAGCACATGCCAACTCTCACAATTTCAACGGAATGCTGAAACATCTCACTAGCCACGACAGTTGCGTAACGCTTGTTTCCTATTAAGGAAAACATCGAAAGAAAATTAGTGTTCAAGAACAGGTAATTTAAAATCTGCCGTAAACTTTCAAAAGACAGAATAGGAGACATCTATTTTGCTAGAAAATTTACAAAAATAATTGTTGGTCTATGTCTTCAAAGTGAATGACAGCTATTATCTTACTAATATTATAAAGGCGAGAGTTTTGGTTCTTGGATGGATGGATGTTTGTTGGAATTTGTAGCCTAAACTGCTAATCGGATCTCGGTGAAATTCAAAACAGATGTAGAGGAAAGTCTGAAAGCACACATAGGCATAGGTTACCTAGTTTTATTTTTTAAATACCACGCAGACGAAGTCGCGGCCGAGAGCTAGTGACTAGTACACTAGTAATAGTGTTAATACAAAAGTCGGCAGTGGATTTTCAAAGTTCAGATATGACTATAAGAAAGTCTATAAAAATAAAAAGACACTCGAGGAGGTTTTCTAAAATCCATTTATATTCGCGATTATTGTTCCGCTTTTGTATTAACTTGCTATAAAAAAGGAAATCACCACGTGGAATAAATAATATGACCGTCCATTCAGTAATCAATGAGGAAATGTTCATCTCTCGTTACGTGACGCTTGCGCAATACTCGGCTCACTACACGTGCATTACATAACATTCGATTAAAACTATCACCGATATATTTATTTTACTTTATATTTAATATCCGGTATCGTTATTTTATAGTCAATTTACTTTGATTTCGAAATTTTACAAAATGACGAGAATACACACTTTATATTAAACTAGCTGTTCCCGTGCGACTTCATCCGCATAAAATTATGAAAATTATATTTTGTTGTTTACATTTGTCAAATTATCAATTGCAAATGTAAAAATGACTTGACATTATGACAAACCATGGCAACCTTGCTTCCTTGATGTTGGCAGCAACTTATGGTCTCTTTCCCACATTAGGGTTTTTATCCAAAATATTTACCCCCTAAGTTTAATGGCATGAAAATATATAGCTTAAAGCGTGACGAAAGCTTAGGACTTTTTTTAAAGAAAGAATTATTTAAAAATATGCTGTAATTGCTGACATCTTAGGCAACAAAGTGTGTGTTTACGCTTTTGTTTAATAGTACATATGTCTAAAAAATTAAAAACTAACATTATTCACAATTGACCGGTGACATCATAAATTAGCGTCGTCTTAAAATAGACATGTTTACCTGTAGGTATAAATCATCTTTGCTGTGCTCGGGTCTGGTAAACTCGGCTTGTAGGGCGCTGGTCTTGCCTCCCAGAGGCAATGTGGGCGCTTCATGCCTCCATGCCTGCCTTTCCTCCTGCCTGAAGCCAGGGTTGTCGAACGCGAACTCATCCTTCACGGATTCCGGATCCGTGGATAGTACGAGGTGTTTCCCTGGAGACAAGGTAAAGTAAGAATTCAATACATTTCCCTTCAGTGTTTAAGAAGTAAATTTTATAAAGAAAAGTGGAGTTATCAATGGAAATCTAGGGCGGACGGATAGATATATTATGGAAACGAAGGAAACCGAATTTCCTGCCGCACCTAAAGTTACTTTGCCGCCTTATAAACTGATTTCTCGATACTCTTACTTTCCTATGTTAATAATATTACATAACATTTGCAAGAACGGTGGCTTTCGACTGGCAAGATATAAACGATATTACAAAAATTATGAAATCTTTCATCAATCTAGTGAGGGTCGAAATAAAGGAAGGGTCTAAAAAATCACCCACCACGTGGAGGAATGTGGGTTAAAATTAGTTATCACAAGTGAATAAGAGCGGGCGGCGCACACCTTTGACGAAACTATCGCACAACAGTTGTGCGATTGTCGATTGTTTCGCAGCCAATTCAACTGTTTAGTTGCACAAATAAATATTAAGTAGTGTGCGCACCTCAATAGCCAGTCATAGAAATCAAAACGAGACTAAACAGTTGTGCGAGGTTTCTGGTGTGCGCGCGCTCTAACCAGATAATTATGTCAAATTATTGTCGCATTATATTTGTGTCGTTTAATTGGTACAAAAAATATTGCTTCGCTTTACTGAACACTAAACGTTTGAGAGAAAGGGAGAAATAAATAGTTACTCCAATTGGAATACAAGATTACTATGTGCTAAGGGGATAAGAGAGCTTATTTAATGTTTGCGATGCTTGAAAACAAAAATAATGTAGTTATTGCTAGGAATACTGCTTGTTATATGCCCTTTCTAACACGTTATGTAGCTTTCATACTCGCCAAACGAGTGTGGCCCTACCTTAATACGTTGTAAACGAATACCCACTTCCTCTAAATATTATTCACTTCATTTGCGAACGGTCTACGCTCAATTAACCTTTGAACACATTCGTTATTACAAGTTATAAAAATTAGTAAACAAATCAATTGATTTCGAAATACCAAAACTGAAACATTTTTAATTTTATTCCACTTTCCCTTATAAGGAAATAATGAGATTGGAATATAAGGAAATAAGTAAAATATCCTATTTTTGTACGTCATTTCCTCGGTCTATTAAATGTAGGCAAACGAATTTGCAATTGCGGATGTCTATGGGCAGTCGCTTCACTAAATTAAATAATCTCGACTGCTCGATTTCCTTTCTAACATTTTTGTATCGACTTTTCCGCATTTCTTTATATAATAAAAGGGGGCAAATGAACGGCGAGAACACCGAGGTGATCAACCACGCCCATAGACATTCAAAAACAGAGTAACTACAGATGCGTTGCCGGCCTTTGAGGAAATGATAGGCTCGCTTCTTGAAGGATCCTAAGTTGTATTGGTTTGGAAATCCCGCCGAGGACAAACCGTTCCACAACGCGACTGCGAGGCAGAAAGTTCTGCGGAAACCGCACGATCAGTGTCATTTAAACTTACAATTAACTAAAGCTTGACTGTAAGCATATTTTATTATATGGAACTAAGCTCCAAGGGTTTTCACTTATCTATCTGGGTGGGACACATTTCGTGCAACAGATAACATATGGAGAATGTAATAGTAATGAATCCTTTGTTGTCCCGCCTATGTCAGCGGATATCTAAAAGATTAGATATAAATAGGGTGTATTAGGCAAATAGGTTTTTTCTATTGCGTAAAAGTATTTCTTATATCTCATAAAGAGTCTTTTAAAAATCGGTTCACTAGCGGCGGAGTTATGCACACACATATTATAAAAAATATACAGACGAATTAGTACCTCCGTATTTTAGGAAGTCGGTCAAAAAGCAACGAGACATGGAGACATAGGAAAGACCATTGTGATTAAAAAAACTGGATTTTCAAAGGTCTGAATTTAAAAGTAAAATCCTATACAATTAATTGTTATTTTTTTATCGACTACATTTACTAGGCACTTTTGGGTTTCAAAGGATATGATTCAGTTTTGTATACATTTATTCATACGAGTTATTTGTATAATTGTTTACCACTTCACGGTTGCCGTTTGACAATGGAAACGTTTAACACGTAACATGCAAAATCTTTTGTAATTGATTAAACGCTGTACCCAACGAGGCCAGACGGCCTTGTTTCTCGCCTTCACTGCACGCACCTCTAATCGACTTTGAATCGACTTCTGTTTCTAATGATTTTAATCGATTAAAAACAAATATTCTATTATATTTTGACATGGGTCTTTTAGCAAATGACGGTAAAATTGATTTTTGACTTCGGTTCATCTGTTTTTTTTCTGTTTTGCAATTTTCTCAGCTTTTTAAGAAACTGTAATTGTGGAAATTACTATAAATCACTTGTTTTGTTTTTTATAGCATTTTTGTATAAATTAGACCTATCCATTATCATTTTTATATCACATCTTGACGAAAAAAATCATCGATATCAGATAAATTAAATCTTAGATACATCACTAGTGTTTCGAGTCTAGCAAACCACAAAAAAGAAAAACGCTGCAGTAGTGTTGTGAAAGCCACGACCCAGTTGACACCGGCTGTCTATCGAAAGCAAAAGTCCACGTTCGACTCGCTGTATGCTACTAAATGTAATAAAAACATACGAAGAAATTATACAGAGAACGCACGAAGATATCTATCTTAAAGAAACGTTGATAACACAAATAAGAGCGCGCGCACGTTTGACTAAACTATCGTACAACTGTTTAGTCTCGATTTGATTCCTATGATCTTATATGGAGGTGTTACTTGATTTTTAGTTGTGTTACTTAACAGTTAAAATGGCTGCGAAACAATCGACAATCGCACAACAGTGTGCGATAGTTCAGTCAAGTCTACGCCCGTTATAAGAATAATCTTAGTAACTACCAATGAGTTTCATATAGTAATAAACATAAACATAAATAACTAGAAAAGTTTTGTATTAGTCAATATCATTTTAGTATGAGGGGTAAATCTGCGGAACAAAACTAATATAGAAACTAAAGAAATAACATGTCTTACAGAGCAAATTGCAGTATTAGGAAGTTTCGTGGTTTAGATTTTTTTGTGGTTCTTAAATAAACTAAGATTAAGCAAAAATTTTATTAACAGACCTTTTTGCATTCATTGCTTTACCTATATTCTTAACGCATCTCATCATATTCATCATCTTCTCTACGGGTCGGCGCACCGTGTTATCGTCCTCCAAATACGTCATACGTCATCTGTCATCACTCCCTTCATCATGTCACCTTTACAATCCATATATCTCTTTCTAGGTCTACCTTTGCCGGTGTTCCTCCACACTAATTCTTCATCTCTTTTACTCCTTAATTTCTCTACCACTACTCTCTGTTCAGATATAATAAAGAATTCACCGATGTTTATCAGATTTACGAAGTGGCACTAACTGTTTACATTTATGCTCCAGATGGTGTTGTTTTTCTGCGTTTGAAAGAAACGGCCTGATTGATATAAGCGTTTAACATACAACTTCCTGCATTCGTCACAGTTAATTAGGCGATGAATCGACGATACTATTAAGAAATTCACTTATATAAGGGTTTCTTATTCCGGTGGAATTAAAACGTAAGTAGCCTACGTTTTCTTCCAAGCTATTATCTACACCTATGCTAAATTTCATCGAGTTTCGTTCAGCGATTTAGGTAGCAAACTGTAACCTTAAAAGAAAACACTTATTGGCTTAAAAGTCGAATACCGGACTAACCAGGCGTAAGTTTAGCCGTTTTTACTTAAGTCTCTTTTCACAATTTTTCGGTGACACAAATGTGACAACAAATTCATACAGGTTACAAAAAGTAAAATCTGATCTCTAGTGAATTTACTGGGGTCAATTAAAATTGGTCGAAGAGAATAGGGTTGGGCATTGTCCTAAATAGTTAAATCAAGACTAAATAGTTTTGGGCTACCTTACTTGTTAGCTTAATTTGAATTTTCCTTCACTTGGCACTTACATCGATCAATATTGTCATTGGAATGTGTTCAAGTTAGTCTAACTTAGTTGTTTACAGCTTATTACAAGCTACTAAATAAGTTGGTGTTAGTTAACAAAATTTACATTAACTTATTCGACGATTTAGCAGAGAACGTGTTAGTAAAGTTAATTCTTTATTCATTACCGCTAGATGTCGTTGTCAACAATCCATGTCTTACGCAAGGAATGCAAATTTTCACAAACTTCGCCAACAAGACAGTCTGAGGTGACCACAATTTGTTACTAAATGTAATTTATTCACCTGCATTTACGGATGGCAGATGTACACTTTTAATTAAAAACCAAAATTCCATCTTTGATGAATCATGCAAAGAGGATAATTCTCTTATAAGACACGTAACTTTTACTTATTAGTTTAAAATCTCTATATTCAAGTAAACATTAAAATATTTTGTGATTTTTGGATTATAAAGTCTGAAGTAGTAACAAACGTAAATCTTTCCTGATTTGTATTTTTGTATGTATTAAAATAACTCAAAAACCACTGGGACGATTTCGAAAATTCTTTCATCATTAAGGAACTACATTAACAATAGACTATATTTTATAATTTGAAGAGGACGAAGTCGCAAGCAAGAGCTAGTAATTTATATTAAAAAACCCCTTTAACCGCAAATAGTTACATAACACCGGGTCATTGACCGCATCGCGTAGGCTTTGCAAAACTTTGCATACAAGATATCCAATTATTCAAATGATGCGTATAATGATATAAAATATAAAATATAAAATATATAATCCTTCTTAAGGCGTTTCTTATTTTATATCTAATCCGAGATATAATAAATCGATTCATTTATTATGTTTCTATCGAGAATTCTTATTAATTTTTTTGCTAACAGTACTCAAGATGACAGTTATAAATTTAAAAATGGTATAATAAAACTTTATATTCATGACATTGTTGTTTTTACAACTATTTCTTTTCCACTTAATACCATTTTGTTTTTTTGTACCCGGGAAATAAATATGTGAATAAAA